GTTCCGGGAGCAGCGCCCATCGCCAAGGCGCCTTATCGCCTCGCTCCACCGGAAATGCAGGAGTTATCCTCGCAGCTTCAGGAGCTGTTGGGAAAGGGGTTTATTCGACCGAGTAGCTCACCTTGGGGAGCGCCGATTTTATTTGTCAAGAAAAAGGATGGTTCACACTGGATGTGTATCGATTACCGGGAGTTGAACAAGTTGACGGTTAAGAACCAGTATCCATTACCCAGGATCGATGATCCGTTCGATCAGTTGCAGGGGGCATCTTGGTTCTCCAAGATAGACTTGAGATCGGGATATCATCATATGAGGGTTCGGGATGAAGATATTCAGAAGATTGCATTCAGAACTTGTTATGGACATTAGGAGTTTGTGGTGATGCCTTTTGGCCTCACCAATGCCCCGGCTGCGTTCATGGATCTTATGAACAGGGTGTGCAGGCCGATGCTGGATCGGTTGGTGATCGTATTCATTGATGATATTTTGGTATATTCGAGGTCTAGGGAGCAGCATGAGGAGCATTTGAGGGAAATTCTTGGGGTATTGAGATCAGAGAGGCTGTATGCCAAATTCTCCAAGTGTGATTTCTGGTTACGAGAGGTCCAGTTCCTTGGACACCTTGTTAACCAGAAAGGGATATTGGTCGATCCGGCCAAGATTGAGGCGGTGTTGAGATGGGAGGTGCCGAGATCGCCCACTGAGATCAAGAGTTTTCTGGGATTGCCGGCTATTATCGGAGGTTTATCAAGGATTTCTCCAAGATCGTCGTGACACTTACTAAGATGACCCGGAAGGGTGTTGCATTTTTGTGGGGACCGGAGCACCAGTCCTCATTCGAGACCCTTCGTCAGAAATTGTGCGAGGTCCCGGTGCTTTCACTCCCGGAAGGGATGGAGGATTTTGTGGTATACTGTGATGCATCTATATCGGGTTTAGGGGTGGTGCTTATGCAGAGGGGACACGTTATAGCGTATGCTTCGAGGCAGTTGAAGCCTCATGAGTCGAGATATCCCACCCATGACCTGGAATTGGGGGCTGTGGTGTTTGCCCTCAAGATCTGGCGGCACTATCTTTATGGGGTTCGGTGTACCATCTACACAGACCACAAGAGTCTGAAGTACTTGATGGATCAGCCAAATCTGAATATGCGACAGAGGAGATGGTTGGATGTGGTGAAGGATTATGATTGTGAGGCCGATGCGTTGAGCCGTAGGGCGGAAAGCGCCCCGATCTGAGATATTTGTATGAGGTTGATGGTGGTAACCCCAATTTTGGATACCATTCGAGGACCTCAGGCTGAGGCTGCGAGACCAGAAAACCAGAAGAGGGAGCGAGTTGTCGGTCAGGTATCAGGATTCGTTACGGATGGTCGAGGGCTTATGACTTTTCAGGGTCGGATTTGGGTACCGTTTGTGGGCGGTACGCGTACTATTTTGATGGAGGAAGCGCATCGATCGAAATTCTCGATTCATCCCGGGGCTACAAAAATGTATTTGGACCTAAGGAGGGAGTATTGGTGGCCCTGTATAAAAAGGGATGTTGCATGGTTTGTTGAGAGGTGCCTGACTTGTCGACAGGTTAAGGCTGAGCACCAGCGTCCGCACGGTAAATTGCAGCCGCTAGAGACTCCCGAATGGAAGTGGGAACAGATTACCATGGATTTTATCACCAAATTGCCGAGGACTGCGAGAGGAGTCGATGCGATTTGGGTGATCGTGGATAGATTGACGAAGAGCGCTCATTTTCTAGCCATCAGCGAGAGCTCTTCTGCGGAGAAGTTGGCGGAATTATACGTGAGGGGGGTGGTATCGTGGCATGGGGTTCCGATGTCGATTGTTACAGATCGGGATGTACGTTTTACTTCCAGGTTTTGGAAGAAGTTTCATGAGGAGTTGGGTACGAGACTGCATTTCAGTACCACATACCACCCGCAGACGGACGGACAGAGCGAGCGGATGATTCAGACGCTTGAGGATATGCTCCGAGCATGTGTTTTGGATTTTGGAGGGAGTTGGGACACTTATCTACCTTTAGCAGAGTTTTCGTACAACAACCATCATTCGAGCATTGGTATGCCACCCTTTGAGCTGTTGTATGGGCGGAGGTGTCACACCCCCATCTGCTGGGGAGAGGTGGGGCAGCGGGTGATGGGTAGCACGGAGATTGTACTCTAGACGACCGAGCAGATTCAGCAGGTCAGGCAGAGGTTGTTGACCGCGCAGAGTCGCCGGAAGAGTTATGCGGACAGGCATCGGTCCGAGCTCGAGTTTCAGGTTGGTGACCTTGTGCTCCTAAAGGTCTCTCCTTGGAAAGGAGTGATTCGATTCAGGAAGAAGGGCAAGTTGGGACCCCGGTATATTGGACCCTTCAGGGTAATAGCTAGGGTAGGCAGGGTAGCCTACCAGTTGGATCTACCTGCTGAGTTGGGGCAGATCCATGATACCTTTCATGTCTCACAGTTGAGGAAATGTATTGCGAACGAGTCAGCGGTGGTGCCATTAGATGATATTCAGGTGGATGCAGGCTTGAACTATGTGGAGAGACCAGTAGCGATCAGTGATCGGAAGGTTAAGGTTATAAGTAACAAGGAAGTACCCCTGGTACAAGTGCAGTGGCAACATCGGAAGGGGTCCGAGCTGACGTGGGAGTCCAAGTCTAAGATGCGGGATCAGTATCCGGAGTTGTTTTCAGTATGAGACTTCGGGGGCGAAGTCTGTTCTAGTGGGGGAGAATTGTAACAGCCCGAAATCCAGGTATTCTTCTATTTTGGTTATGTTGTTATTTTAGGGTTTCATGATAAGCGAGTACGGCGCTGCGCGTACTCGCGCACCTCATTTGGACGCGTTCACCCTCAGGTACGCTGGGCGTACCCAAGGTTACGCTTGGCGTAACTTGTCCAGATCTAAAAACCCTAATTCCTTTGGAGGGCTATAAAAGGAATGTGTGGCTGGACTTCTCAGCCACCATCCCTCAGAGTGAAACCCTAAAAAGTGTGCCTTCGTTCTTAAGCCATTTTGTGTATTCTAAGCTTGGTGGTGCCATTCCAAGGTTGCAAAGGAGAAGAAGAGCTCATTGGAAAGGCTAGAAGTGGTGTTCAAGTGTAGATCTGAGCTTTGCAAGGGTTAAAGCTTCATTATCAGGTAAAAAGTTCGGATCTTGTCACTTGGTTCATGTTATATGCTTCAAGTACCATTTTCTAGGGTTTTAGTCCCAAAGGTGGAGACTTTTTGTGCAAATGGCCTCCATAAGCTTAGATCTTTATATTTCTGGTCTATTGGAGTTGTAGACTCATAAAAATGACATCTTGGACGTGAATATTGCTCCATGCATGAGATCTAGGTCCTTGAGTTGGAATAGAATGTTGTTAAGAGGTGTTGGAGCCTTTACAGCCATGCCAAGGCTTAAAGGTCTCGACTTTATGGGTTTAGACACATTAACAGAGTCGGATCTAGAAGTTGGAGTAATGGCTTAACCGATTAAGACCAGAAATGAAGAGTGTTAGAATCTGATGGTTACGCTGGGCGTAACTTCCAGTACGCGCAACGTACTGGGTGGAGACCCCGATCCATGGGTTGGCGATGTACGCCCCGCGTACTCTCAGGGTTGACTTTTAGGGTTTTTGTCAACATGAGGACTTTAGGTCAAGGAAGGGTAAAATGGTCTTTTACCCTCTGAGGAATGATGATAAGGGGTAAAGTTTTAGTGGTGGAAGTCTTTGAGTATTAAATGATATTTTTATGTTTAGGCGAGGTAGAGTCGTCGTTGGGATTTGGAGATAGCGAGGACGCGAGATCTTAGACTTTCCACGAGGTGAGTTTTCTCACTATACTGTACCCGGAAGGGTTTGACTGTGTGACCGGAAGGTCGGATATGTTATGAGATATATGTATTGTGTGTGATAAGTTAATCGCTTATATGTGCCATGTATGATATGCTTGATATGGGCCGGAAGGCATTATGTTATGGGCCGGAAGGCGAATATGTTATGGGCCGGAAGGCGTTGTGATGTGGACCGTAAGGTTGACGTGGGTAGGACCGGAAGGTTACCTAGTCGGGACGGAAGTCCCCTGAGACACATGGACCGGAAGGTCAGGGCCTGGAAAGGCGTATGTGCGTAAGTTGTATTTTGGGGAACTCACTAAGCATTTATGCTTACAGTTGTTGTGTTATGTGTTTCAGGTACTAGCGAGGACCGTGGGAAGGCGCCGACGTGATCGTACACATTGTCGAAGGAAAACTATTTTATGATCATTGGGATGTATTATATTATGATAACATTGTTCACGATTGAATTTGGAACATTAATCGATGGTTTTTGATGCTTACAAAACTGAAAATTTTGTTTTAAATTTATGTTGTTACAGTAATCACTAATCCATCACCTTTTGGGCTTTCATGATCCATGCATGGATCATCCCCTCCCCCTTTGAAAGGAATTGACCTCAATTCATCAAGGCTATCATCGTCAAGATAAGGTGAAAGATCTCCCACATTAAAGGTAGCACGCATTCCATGGTCTCCTCCCAAATCCACATTGTAACCATTATCATCTTCAAAATTTGTCACTTCCACACATATATCATTCCCTCCTTCTTCGAAAGGAATTTTCCTCAATTCAGTAAGAACCAAATTTTGTTGTTCTCCCATACAAACCTTCCATGAAATCATGTCTTGAAAACATATTTTTGTTGAAGAATGTGACCTTTTCTTTACTCCAAGTTGGTCTATTCTCCACATACACATGTTCTTCAAATAACTAAAAGAACTCGCCAAATGAAATCCTAACTGTATCTTCCATTTGTGGATCAAAAACCACTTTTGTACACTCCTATGAACAAGATTGGAACCTAGAAAGTTATCCTTGAAATAATTTAAAGGATTAACAATGGTCATATGAAATAATAGATCATGGTTTGTACTTGTGGGTTGATGAACAACATGTTCCAATAACATGGCTTCCCAACTGAAGGTACACCACAAGAATAGGAATCCAAGCATTATGAAGTCCCTCCCTCGTAACTGCTTGGAACTTGGAACTTGATGGTCACACCTTCTTCTAGGCTCTTACAAAGACGGTTTGTTATAAGACGAGTATCATCATCCTTCTTAACCACAACCACATCTTCGTGGTCAAGAACCTGCTCCACCTCTTCGGATTCTTCAACAATTTTGTTTGTAACAACAAAATTGATTTCTTTCACAATTGTTTCAACAATTTTGTTTCCAACCTCAAACTTTATTTCTTCTTCAACTTCTTCATGGTCGTCTTCCCCATCAGTGGCATAGAAAGGTTTAGAGTGTTCAATAATTTCTTCTCCAATCACTAAATTGATTCTTTCAACAAATTCCCCTTCCCCATCAGTGTTGTAGATGGACCAAAATCTTCTTCTTCCCCT